TCCGCGCATAGAGATATGAATCCCCGATCATATACTCAGTTGCACGACTGTCCACACGCGCGACCAATTACAGAGCGCGTTTGATTGGTCGACTTTATGCGCGGGGCCTTTTCTGACTTTGCGCGTCCAATCAGGCGTGCTCATATAGGGTCACGCCCATATGAGATCGCCCTACTGGAAATGGAATATTTGTTTAAACTGACGAATCCTACAAAAGGTACACACGCCGAAACAAAACCTCTGGCCAATTGTCAAAAGTTAGAAGAAAGAAAGAGGATTGAACTAGCAAGAATGAGGATACAAATAGCAAACCCTAGAAGGGTTGTACTCGCTATAGAGCACCCCACTACAGGCTAGAACAATAAGATAATATTCTGACACACCCCCATAGCCAAAGTGGGGTGTAATCAGCAGTGCAGGCAAAACAAAACAAGCTCAGGGTGGATCACAATGTCACCACACATTCTGAGCACAAGTTCAAGAAGAAATAGTTCATAGTTCACAATTATAAGCAAAACTAGTGGTGGTCACAACGGGCAAGTGAGGAGGAGGAGTGAGAGCGAGAGGAGTTGGGAGGCGACAGCTGAAGCTGCAGACACACGGGCAACAGGAGGCACACTGGCACAGCGGCTACCGGGCGACGCCCCCGGACTACTGGAGTAACTGGCCCCGCGGCTAAAGTAGCGGCAGACGAGCAACGGACCCACGGGCGGCTGGCACAGCTGGCTACGACTGGGCTACCGGGCGAAGCCCCCGGAATACAGGTGTTGCTGACGACAAACTGGCAACCTCCACTCATCCTCCCGCACACAGTCCCACCCCCCTCATACACACCCACTGCTACACCACTAGCTCTACTCCCACACACCCCCCTAGCACCACTCCTTCGTCTCCCACACACCCACCCCCCTCAGCGGCAGCTGCAGCAGTGGGAGACGGAGGAGGAGGAGGAGCAGGGGACCGCGCACACCCGCCACCCCCATACCCGTCACCCCCATACCCTGAGTGTGCGGTAGGCGAGCTCAGGTGTGCGCGAAGCATGCACAAGCGTGCGGGAAGCAAAATCGGGTGTGCGGGAAGCGAACTCGGGTGTGCGGTAAGCAAACGCAGGTGTGCGGGGAGGGGGGGGGGGGGGGGGGGGCCGCAGGGCGACACGCGGGTCGACGGGGATGGGCACACCGGTCGCCGGAGGCGGCGCGCGGGTCGACGGGGCCGCCACTAAGGGCGACAGGGAGCCTCGCGCGGGTTGACGGGGACGCCGCGAAGGGCGACGAGGAGCCGCACGCAGGTCGACGGGGACGGGCGTGCGGGTCGACGGAACGCGAAACCGCCGCGTGCGCCCAGGGTGCGCGGTGGGCAGAAAACCGCCACGCGTCCTGAGCGCATGGCGTGCAGAATACCGCCGCGCGAAGCAGGAAACCGCCGCGCGCCTCGGGGCGCACGGTGGGCAGAAAACCGCCGCACGCACTGAGCGCGCGGTGGGCAGAAAACCGCCATGCGCCCCGAGCACGTGGCGGGAAGAAAAAACTGCCGCACGCCACGGGGCGTGCGGCATAGAGAGTAGCAGTAGCAGTTGCAGCGGAAGCAACGAGGTGGTGAGCCCACCCACAGGATCGATCCAAGGGGATCGACCTGCTCTGATAGCATGTCAAAAGTTAGAAGAAAGAAAGAGGATTGAACTAGCAAGAATGAGGATACAAATAGCAAACCCTAGAAGGGTTGTACTCGCTATAGAGCACCCCACTACAGGCTAGAACAATAAGATAATATTCTGACACCAATTAGAGTCAAATTGAAACGCGCTCTGTAATTGGTCGCGCGTGTGGACAGTCGTGCAACTGAGTATATGATCGGGGATTCATATCTCTATGCGCGGATTGGTCAAGAATTGGACCGAAAATTAGCGCGACTGTTCGCCCAAGATGATCGTGTTGATTATTGTCGTGTATTCGAACGGTGACGTGGCCGCCCTCGCGCACGTCACCCAGCCGAAAATTTCGGGCGGAAAATCACTCGCCACGTTTTTGTGGGAAGAGACACGAACGACGTAAGAAAAGCAGGGCTAAAAACCGGTTTTGGGTAATGTGCCGGATAAAAAAAAAGCCAGAGGAAACCTCTGGCAAGACCACTCGAGCAATTATCATCGAATTGTCCGACCACGGTAGCGAATCGAGGCCACGTGTGCAACGGCAAATCACCGTTTCCGGGTCTGGAGAAATTCTCTCCAGGCTCGATTTCACCAAACTCACGTCGCCGCCGCCATCCCATCCAGCCAAGCCAAGTTCTCCACTTTTGCTGCATATCCTCCTGCCCACCTACCAAGTTATCCACTGTCTGCATTCGTCGCTTCAATGTCGTTCGAAGTGGAATTTGGGTGTATGTTTCCGCCATTTATAACATCACTGAGCCCCGGAGATAATTATTCGACGTTAGGATGAAAACTCAACTCGATCTTTTTAAGGCGTAACACTTCTGCTTGAGTTATTGTCTCTGTTACCTGATGACTCCAGTCGCGTATCGACTCAATCACTCATAGCAATCCGGATCGGCGATAGACATGTACTCTAAGTTGTCTTGCCTTATTCTCCTCGTCGCGTGCGTCCTCAATGTGCTTGTGACTCTATCGAACGGCGCACATCATCCCCCGACTACCACTGTCACTGCAAGCAACTCGTCAAAATGTGACTATACGAAAGGGAGGTACGCAAAACCAGCGGCCCTTAAAACCGGAGTCTCAAGTATCCCGAGTTTGCCTCATCCTTCCTACCTTTGGTTGGGTCACAAAGTCCAACCAAGCTTCCTACCTTTGGTTTTGTCACTAAGTCCAACCAACCTTCCTACCTTTGAAACCTGTGGACCCTGGGTTTTAAACTGCGTCCAAGCAGCGAAGGGTCGAGACGTATCCGTGACTAGCTGCTAGTTTGAGCCGTACCTTTCCGAATCCTCTCTCCCCGTCGCTCCTTTCTCTTTCCTTCTCGCCATTCCAGGTGGGTGCCCACGAGTACGATACCTGGTTACCAGCCTCCATATCACGACTCGTGCCCCAACCAACTCAAATGTCCCCAGCTTCTGCCGGGCCAGAAGCGACCTGCCGCTTACACGTGGCTGCCCGACCCGCCCTGCTCCCAGCAGCTGTGGAGGTAAGTGTGCTTGGACCAGGACCCCCGCGGGTTGTGCTTAGAAGAAGGTGATCGTTGCAACGACAAGAAGTAGTTTTGTAAACGTTTTTGCACCTGACAGTGGCAGCATTTGTAGTCGTCGTACAGTTTTTGCCTTACCACTTGTATCGCTCAATCTGACTCGAAAAATTAACCCAGCTTTCGCTTCTTCTATCCCCTTCTTTTCGCAAGGCGGCCGACAGATCACAGCCGGAAAAGCTACTATCAATGTACAGGGACTCCATGATAGCTTTTATCGGGGACTCTTTTAGCGAGACGGTGGTGAAATCCATGAATTGCATTCTCGCGCAAGCCTCGCCATACAAGGTCAGTCGCCATCCAAGGTCAGTGGGGCGCAGGAGGTCAGTGGGGGGGACGAGGTCAGACGTACGCCCAACCAGCCTGATCAGAACGTGCTTCCTGAGCCACAGCCCAGCAGGCCAGTTCCTAAGGTGCCTCACAAATGCATTCCTGGCGTCCCTGTGGTGAGAGCAGGCGATCAAGATGAGGATAGGGCGCTTGCAGCATGCGTGCCTGCGATTCACGCGGTACAACGTGACGCTCGTGAGCATCGGAAGCGGATACCTCGTCAACAACCCTGACTTGGTAAGGCTCTTGTTGCTCCTGTCACTCATGTTCGTTCGTGTGACTCACGTTGCTCGTGTGTCCTGCCATAGGCGCACGGCCGGTACGTACTAGACGCCCCTGTTGCTACCGGTATTCCCGCTGAGATCACTCGAAAGGCAGGCCCTGAGAGGTGGTGTTTCATTCTGCCTTGCACGTGTCTCACCATCACATGGCAGGAGCAAGGACGCATTCTATTGAAATCCCCAGGTCCCATGGCCCCTGCCAGTCCCACAGCAACCAGACCTACCCCAGCCCTCGGTGGACGACAGTGCTTCCGCGCACCCGAGCTGCCATCTTCACAGCCGGCCATTGGTTCTTCCATGAGAAGCGACCTCCACCGTTGGATCGCATGTGGTCCGCATTTGCCCTCACTCGCGACCACTTGCTCTCGTCCAACTATACCGGCCTCGCCCTGGCTCTCTCCTTCTCCCCTGTCCACACTAACAAGTCCTGTGCTGCTGCTACAGCCCCCCTCGCTGCCTCCACGCCTGCTGCTGCTCTAGCGAATGTGACCGCAAAGAGCACCATTCCCGCTCGTAGGGCGCAGAGGAGGGTGCTGCGGGGGTCGAGGCTGCGGCTGGTGGATGTGACTCAAATGAGTCGGTTCCGGCCGGATGCACATATACGGGGGAACACCGGGGTGAGTGTGCGAGTATGTGTGTGCCTTGAACCGATACTTTTGCATGTAGAAAAACCATTTCATGCCTCCTGCTGCATTACTGTACCTTGTCAGTTCTCAACTCATGAGCAGCCCCTCTCCTTCCCTTAGCAGATCACAGCCCCCTTGTAAGGTTTTGCTCAAAACCCAAGGCGCACGAATCCCCTCCTTCCCTCACACCCGTTCCACAGCATGAGAAGCTCGACTGCAGCCATTGGTGCCTACCTGGTGTGCCTGACACATGGAGTAACCTTGTCATCTCGCACCTTCTGGGGCAGCTGGAGTGACTGCAGGGAGTCATGCATGGGTGGATGTGTTATTGCCAGAGCTACCGTTGATGAGATGAAAGCTGGCACGGGCTGTAGCAGCAGAGGTGCTGGTAATGGTGTTGAATGTGCGCGTAACACTGCATTGGCTTGGTTGGCAGTCACCCGTGTTGTCGGACAATCCTCCGAGCTTGAACGAAAGTGGTAACAAATGAATTACAGAGTACGCAACAGATGTAGCAGCACTGGCACCACAAGCATGCAATGCAACCGATGCAGCAGAGCAGAGCACTATGGCACGAGCATGGAGTAGATGACATCAGACCAGGCATCAGGCACGCCGGGCAGGCACCAGTGGCTGCAGTCCTTCTTCCTGCCGCTCACCGCTCGATTCAAATGCCCGTCCGGTCGCAGCATGCTCATGTACGTTATCTCCACCAGCCGCATCCGTGACCTTGCAAGCAGCTTCCGCTGCTCCTTTAGAACCGCCATGGCACGGGTATCGCCCCCTTGGATTGCGGCGGTGATGTTGTTTAGAGGAGTGCCTGCCGTTTTGCACTGGGTGCGGTCGTGTGCCGGAGAGTAGGAGACAAAGAGGGGGACGCCAGGGTAGTTGGTGCGCTCGATATAGTCACGCACTGCCTTGAGGGACTTGCGCAGCTTCAGTACCGGCGACATGTAGTTCTGTGAGGGGTGGTCAATGGGTTGGATATTTATACCAGTAAGAATTGATTCTCGTGGAGAGGGGATGGCATGAATTGGATACGTTTGTGTGTGTAGAGAAACTGGGGGCTGAGATATAATGAGCATAGTATCCATGAAACAAGCAGAGCAGCAGCAGCCAAGAGGATGGGGCAGAGTGCTGGCAAAACGAACAGGAGGGGTGGGATGGGAGGTACGGCAGAGGAGGATGGCAGGCGTTGCTGCGTGTGAGCAGCAGACCTGGTGGAAGAAGCGGTGGCCGGCTGTGAAGACCATGGCTGCTGTCAGTGGCAGTATGGCCGCCCACTGCCCGTCCACCCTCACCCTCGCTGAACTCTGCTTGCAAGAGGGGAGAGAGAGTGGGGGAGATAGACGCGCGGGGGGAGGAGAGGAGAGACGCGGACGGAGGACGAGTTTTGCAGAGGGGAGAAGTAGTGTGAGCGGGGTAAAGTGACACTGAGGTGGCTAAAGAAGCAGGCGCATGGGACAGGTGAGTGGGGCTCCAGCAGAAGGCATGTTGCGTACCGAGTTGACGAGGCGGGTGAGCTTGCCACTGGCGATGGTGACGACGGTGAGGTTATATGCCGGCAGCTCCACTGCGTTGCGGTACCGCCTCCCCCCCACCCTCACCCGCACGTGCTGCCAGCGCACGGGACCGGGGACGGGAGATGAGGGGGATAGAAGAGGGGGGAAGGGGAGGAGAGGGAAGAAGAGAGGGGGGAGTGAGGGGTGGGACGGTGCGGAGTGGGCAGGAAATGGGATGGTGGAGCAACCAGCAGACAGGTGCGTCACCGGTGCAGCGGCACCTGCGCTCAAGGCGCTGCCCCACGCATGGACAGTGGGCAGCAGGGATCGCACCTGGAAGGGCAGGGCGCACCTGGAAGGGCAGGGCGCACCTGGAAGGGCAGGGCGCACCTGGAAGGGCAGGGCGCACCTGGAAGGGCAGGGCGCACCTGGAAGGGCAGGGCGCACCTGGAAGGGCAGGGCGCACCTGGAATGGCAGGGCGCACCTGGAAGGGCAGGGCGCACCTGGAAGGGCAGGGCGCACCTGGAAGGGCAGGGCGCACCTGGAAGGGCAGGGCGCACCTGGAATGGCAGGGCGCACCTGGAAGGGCAGGGCGCACCTGGAAGGGCAGGGCGCACCTGGAAGGGTAGGGCGCACCTGGAAGGGCAGGGCGCACCTGGAAGGGCAGGGCGCACCTGGAAGGGCAGGGCGCACCTGGAAGGGCAGGGCGCACCTGGAAGGGCAGGGCGCACCTGGAAGGGCGTGACAGCAGCGAGGGTGCAGCGAAAGGAGGCCACGAGATTGTCGTTCAAAGAGTCGCCCACGAATGCTATCACACTGTTGCGGTACCTCTCCAGCAGTACACGTGGCTGCATCCTATTGGGCAGGGGAGCGAGGGAGAGAGGAGATGCGGAGCTAGGGGCGTGAGCGTAAAGAGAGACGGCGGTGGGGTTAACAGCGCATGGTGTGTGTACGTTGGAATGGAGAGGGGACGAGCACAGCCAGGACCAGGAGAGCACGCAGGGGTGCGATGCCGTACCGCCACAGCTGGTAGGAGCAGGGCGGGAAGGGCTGCCACACGAAACTAGCGGGGTTCTGGCGCCCGTCGGCCACGCCATCACAACTGAACTCAGAGCAGCTGGCGCTGTAGGGCGGCCTGTAGCCGGGTATGATTGACGTGTCCACCCAGCTGCGGTCAAACAGAGTCAACGGGAGTCAACAAGGAGGCCAAACAGGGTCAGGGAGAATGAACAAGGATCACCAGGGTCAAACGTACATTGAGGGTGCACCGAGGCAGTGCATTGCATTAAGGGAAGACAGGAACATCAGCAACGACAATGTGGGGATCGTAACAAGGCTGCTCTACCTCGAATGTTCCATGTGCGTCTCAAAACTTGCGAGGGGACACAATTCACCCCCAATGCAGGATACCTCGGGTAACCCACAGCAAGTTCCCTCGATTTATATCCAGTGGATAGAGTCGGACCTCGTGGCAGTGTTACCGGCTCGATCTGCCTCACAGAAATCCCTCCCGCGCGCAAAAGCTACCGCTCACGCCACAACCCTGGCTTCCTGCGCTCAAGGTGACTCGACTCTTCTCTTTTACGAGGCAAAGCCTGTCCAGTAGTACCTTCCCTTGAGGTAGTTGCATCCGCGATGCGACCGCGAGCGCGCGACCAGCCGCGAGTGCCGCTGAATGGCGGCGAGGCCCAGCGGGCTCACCGCGACGGCCGCCGGGATGGGCTGAACGACAGATAATGCGACGAAGAGAGCGACGCTTAACGACTGCGCTGCGAAGCTTCGATGAACCATCCCTACCACTGGCTTCGATAAGGCGAGCCCTGGCTGCGCTATTAGCCCGCCATGTCGTTATATTTATTGCGGCCCTTATTCGCTACGAGGTCACTATATGCACCTGTTCCAAGAGGCCTCAGCTAGGAAAGGTCTAGCTCAAGCGCCAACTCGAATGAACGCATAGCGAAGAGTGCTCCAGGAATGGAGAAATGGAAACGAGATTACAGACGACACGGGTTCCTGCTATTTTGCACACGCTTGGCCCTTGTTCTTGCTGTTTTGTACATGCTAGGCCCTTGTTCTCCACTTTCACCGCGTCCTCACTTTATGGTCCAACCAATGTAGCGACGCGCGATCAGATGACGGCGGCGGTTCGTCTTGACTTTGGTCTTGACTTTGACGCTTGTACAAGGGCATCGTAGCGGAACGCAGCAGCACCAGACTGTAAAAAACAGCTGTAAACAATAACGAAGACATTCCTAGTGTTATTTCCTTAGAGCCAATGAATTTCTTCCAGATCTTCCACGTGGCTATTTTTCGCGCCTCGCTGGTCGGCATGGGCTCCTGCGGCACCTGCAGTCACACCTGTGATTCATGCGTTATTGACAGGAGAGTCGGTTCCACCTGCCCAAGCCCCTCCTGAAGGCCACTTCGTACCGAACCTGCGCTCCATACCACACTGCACAGCACAGCCTCCTTGCAGGCTGCCTTGCGGCACATCAGCTGAAACCTGACCAGAAAGAACAGGCCAACCAAGGCCAAGCCAGTTTATCAAATCAATGCCGAACCAAGGGCACAGGCAAGGAATTCGTATGTTTGGTGGTCGAAAGTCGTTGAGGGAAAGGCACATCATTGGCCCAGCTGGTCAGGTGGCCGGGACATGTGAAAACCAGCGAGGAGAGGCAGCCATGCCGTAGATTCAAATTCTTCAAGATTCCAAGTCTTCATCGCTACACATTTCAAATCCATCATCCATAGTTCTGTATGCTTGTCCGCCCAACATCATTCAACATCACCCGTAGTTGCAATTGGAGCGCCCAGCTCTCAACCATTCAATACTATCGAAATCAAGACCTCCAAATTAGTTTGTTGGTTTTTCATTCGTTCAATCCGAGCCATTGATCCGGCTCCAGCATGAAGCCGAAGCGGCGAGCGCCGCAGAGAGTGCAGCGGAAGCCCAGCACGGTGGCGAGCGTGGGCGGCGGCAGCTGCATGCGCTTCTTGTTGCTCTTCCTCGCCGCCGCCGTCCTCTTCTGGGTCCTCTCCTCGCGCTCCGAAGCCATCGCGTCGTCGCTGAACGCCCTCAGTCGACGCGCGAAAATAGCCGGCGGCGGGGACAAACCCCTCGTTAGAGACCTCCTCGGTACTGGAGCCGCGGGGGCGACATCTATAGACGTATTTGCGAGCGATTCATTGGCCAATGAGGAACCGGTGCCGCAAATATCGCTATCAGGAACGGACGGGCAGGGGGAGGAACCAGATCTCGCGGGGACGCTGGATTCGGAGGATTTGGGAGCGGTGAGCGCGGCGCAGAACACGCAAGAAACCCCCAGCGAGCGAGGCAAGGCGGTGGCCGACGCGGTAGAAGATACGACGAGGAATGAGGCGGCGCGTAGATCAGCAGACGATGCACCGCTTGTCAAATCTGCGGGTTTGCGGGGCGATGGATTGTCAACGGGAGATAAGAAGTCAGATGCGATCAGCGAGAAGCCGCGACCTGCTGCTAATGTGATCGTCAGCGTGACGCAGCCCGCCGGTGTAACGAAACCCGCAACGATGAAACGGAAAAAGCGACGAGTGAAAGCGCCTTTAGCGCGGTGGGCGCCGCTCAACGGCAAGTATCCGGATCTGACAATAGCGAAGCCGAAGCGCAAAGTTCTAAAGGTTAACATCGACAAGAAGAACCTGCAGCGGGTGTACTTAGACGCGACGCGGTTCCAGGAGAACAATCCGAAGAAGGTAGATCCACCTTTCGAGGCGAGTCGCGGTCCGGAGTGCCCGACGTTCGAGTACGGTTACGAGGGCTTCCCGGGCATCGCGTCGTGCTGGCGAAGCCCGATCGAAGACGTGTTACGTTCGCCAGCGTCGCTACCGGCGAATTGTGCGAATGCGACGGACGCCGGGTGCATGCAGGAGGCCGACAAGCAGCCCCACGAACCGTGGTCCGCGCAGGTGCGTTCCGGATAATGGGTTGGAAGGAGGGGGGACTGGGGAGGTGGGGGTGGGGTAAGAAGGGTGGGGGAGGAAGGGGCGGGAAGGGAGGGGGAAGGGGGAATAAAGGCAACAGCTATTACTCTGTGAATGAACGGAAAATCATCAAGGCAAGTGATCCGTTCCACAACGCCCCATACAGCAAAGAATGAGATGCGAGTAGGCGGGCTGGGGCTGTTGCAACGCAACGGGCTGAACGGAGAGGAAGGGATGCAGAGAAGCGCAGTGGGCTCGTGTGATACGCGAAAGGGACTGTGTGGGGAACGTGCGCTCATGTGCGCTCATGTGCGCTCATGTGCGCTCTTGTGCGCTCTTGTGCGCTCTTGTGCGCTCTTGTGCGCTCTTGTGCTGCGTACTGCATCCGCGAAGGGGAACGTGCTGCTGGTGGGTCAGGGTTTGGGGTTCAGGTTTTGGCTCCCTGTTGAGGCGAGGAGTCAGTTGGATTAATAGAACGGCGAAATTGATGCTACACATTCCCTGGCGAGATAAACAAACAACAAACACACCCCCCCGCCTTCCCTCGCCTTTCCCCTTTCCCGCCCACCTTGACCTCTCTATCCCTCCCACGCGTCCCCTCACTCCCCGACCTCCCCATCCCACGTGGCTCGCATTCCGCTCCTTCAACCCGCCCCCCTGATCCCACCCATCACTGCGGGCGGGAGCGGCCGACACACTGCGGGCGCGCCAGTGTACAGCGCTCACCTGCACACACACCTCCCTCTCCCATCCTCACCTCACTTCACCCATCCCTAAACCACTCCACCTCCCTCTCCCTGACCCCCACACCCGAAAGGTGCGACTCCTGCCACACAGTGTGCATGCCAATACAGCAGGGCCGCTGCTCATCCGCTCCGCACACACCTGCACTGCCCCCTTTCCCCCTTAACCCCCACTCCTACCCGCCTTTCCCAATCCTCCTCCCACCCCCCAGCCAAGTGCTGTTGCTACTCAACATGTATGTGGACGTGACAGGGCAGGGGTTGAACCTTCCCACACACCTTCCCCTTCCTCTTCCAGCCGTTATCCCTTTTCTCTTCCTCGTCACCCCCACCCACCAGTTGCTGCTGCTGCACAATGTGTACATGAGCGTGGAGGGCCAGGAGTTCAACGCCACACAACCTCACTTGACCCCCCCTTCCCCTCCGCCGCCCTCCTCACCAGGTGCTGCTGCTGCACAATGTGCACATCAAGGTGGCAGGGCAGGTGTTCAACGCCACACACCTCTAATTGCTCCTTCCCCTCCCCTTCTCCCCCCAATCTCCCTCCCCACACCTGCACACCCTTGAGGTGCTGCTCTTGCACAACGTGCTCATCAACGGGGTGGGCCACGTGTTCAACGCCACAAGTGCACCTAACCCGTATTTCTTCCCCTCGCCCATCTCTCCCTTTTCTCCCCGGCATCCCCACCAGGTGCTGCTGCTGCACAACGTGTACATCAACGTGGCGGGCCAGGTGTTCAACGCCACGCACCTCTTTGACCACAACGCCTGCGCCGCCGACTCACCCTTCCACTACACCCCCGGCAACACCCAAGTCTCCTCCTTCCCCTCCCTCATCTCCCTCGTCGACTGGTTCGGGTGGTCCGCGCGAGCCTACATGCTAGACCTGGTGCCGTCTATAGTGACTCTCGACACAGTGCTGGCGCTGTTGAAGGGGGAGGGAGTGCCGGTGGCGCTGGGGTTGCGGGACCGGCATGTGAAGAATCAGATGGAGCAGGCGACGGGGCTGGGGCACTGGGAGCTGGTGGGGGTGCGCCTGGAGAGGATGAACCCGCAGATTCTCAAGGAGGGCGAGCTCTTCTTTGCTGAACGCCTCATTCTCGTGAGTGGCATGGGGTATAGTTCTGAGGCGCCTCAAAACTAGGCTGGGGCGCTGGGAGCTGGTGGGGGTGTGCCTGGAGTGGATGGACCCGCAGCTTCTCAAAGAGGGGGCCTGTTCTTTGCTGAACGCCTCATTCTCGTGAGTGCTGGGCAACTCGAGCAGAGCAGAGCACCAGCACAACAGAGTACCACATGGTACCAAAGATAACCACAGTGCACCACAGAGCACCAAAGAGCACCACAGAGCACTCAGGGCACCGCATTCTCCTCTTCTCCCCTCACTTCTTGACTCCTGTGCTCTCCTCCCTTCACCCCCCCGCCCTTGTGTGTGTGCGCGCGCACAGCCACTGAAGCAGCGGTGTGGGCGGCCCAGCAGGGCCATGTGGTCGTACCTGCGCCACCGCAACCTGCTGCCCAAGCCGGGCCTCCCCATCTACCGCCATGGTACACCCCACCTCTCTCCCTTTTCTCATGCATCACAACCCTATGTGCCATTTTGATCTGCATCTATGCCATCTGCTGCCATACCTCCCCATCTGCCCTCCCCGAGCTCAACCCCACAAGTTCTTGTTCTCTTGGCACCTAAATCACCCTCCCCTCTTCCCCTTCCCACACGGCAGAGTTCAAGCCAACGTACCGCAGGCGCAAGGGGGAGGATCTATCAGCGGGCAGCGACTGGATCGTGGTGGTGGCGATGCGCGACGAGTGGAAGCCGCTGGTGCAGACGCTCAAGCTGACACAGCAGCTGCTCAAGTGGCTGCCCCAGGACCGCATTGTCACGTACCGCGATGGCTCGCTGCCCTTTGGCAAGCGCAAGGAGCTCTTCAACCGCGCGAGACTGCTGGTGGCGGCGCATGATAACGTGCTGGCAGATATGGTCTTCATGCCCGCTGGTGAGGTATTGGGGAGGGGAAGCATCTGTTTCATTCTCGCGGCCCAATCTTCTCTTCACCACATCGTCTCCACCCCCCCCTCCCCTCCTCTTCCCCCTTTCTTCCCTCCCTTACCTTGCCTTACCCTTCCATGACCCCACCCATTCCCCTGGGTGTGTGCAGGAGGGGCAGTGGTAGAGATCAGGCCAGAGGAGGAGGCGGACCCCACGTTCCACCACCTGGCGGACGCGTGCCAGCTGGACTACTACCTGCTCTTCTCAGACGGGCGCAAGGCGGACGGCAAGAAGGGCGGCAAGCCCAAGGTGAAGGACCCCAAGGTGGTGCACAAACTGCTGGAGAAGATTGCAAGACGGATACGGAAAGTGTAATTGTGTAGTGTAGATTTAGTGTATAGTAGTCATGCATGTGTGTAACGGTGGTAGAATACTAGCAGGAAATTGAATTCAGTTTTCCACATCATGGCTATTACCGTATATTCTAGTTAATGCATATTTGCTCAAGATGCTGTTGCTCATGATGCTGGTGCTGACAATGTGCACTCACGATACTCGAGCTCACGTCCACCCCATCAGTTTCCACCCCCACCAGTTTCCACCCCATCAGTTCCCACCCCCACCCTAACAGTTTCCACCCCATCAGTTCCCACCCCCACCCTAACAGTTTCCACCCCATCAGTTCCCACCCCCACCCTAACAGTTTCCACCCCATCAGTTTCCACCCCATCAGTTTCCACCCCATCAGTTTCCACCCCATCAGTTTCCACCCCATCAGTTTCCATCCACCCCATCAGTTTCCACCCCATCAGTTTCCATCCCATCAGTTTCCACCCCATCAGTTTCCACCCCATCAGTTTCCACCCTAACAGTTTCCACCCCATCAATTTCCACCCCATCAGTTTCCACCCCATCAGTTCCACCCCATCAGGTTCCACCCCATCAGTTTTCCACCCCATCAGTTTTCCACCCCATCAGTTTCCACCCCATCAGTTTCCACCCCATCAGTTTCCACCCCATCAGTTTCCACCCCATCAGTTTCCACCCCATCAGTTTCCACCCCATCAGTTTCCTTTCCACCCCATCAGTTTTCACCACGATGCTGTTGCTCACGATACTCTTGCTCACTTTGCATGCAATTACACCCTGCAGTGCAAAGGAGATTATTGAAATGTACGATGAAAGTGTGCAAATCAGACTGCATAATGATGTGGACAAAAGGAGGGGTCAGGAACTGACAATAACATACAATTGTACAGCCCAGGCTACAGTAATGCCCACTGCACAGTATACTGAAGTGAGGAGCAGAGGAAGGAAAGGGAGGTGTGCATGCAGCCGTGGATGGTGGTACAGCAGCTGACACAGCATTTCCAAGGGTAAAACACCCAAAGCATGTACCACTCGTAGCCTGTGCAACCACGATGGATACTGCAACTTGGGGAGCCGTAGATTTGACGAGTTTTTATGCGGTGGTGATTGGTGCATTGAGGTAGTGGGTTGGCGGTTGAGAGTGGGGGAGAAGAGGCGGAGGGAGGAGAGGAGGAGGGCAAGGGAAAAGAGTGAGAGGAGGAGGATCTTGATGGGATACTCGGGGAGTGTGAAGAGGAGGGGGAGGAGGGAATAATGAGCCACTGGAGGTGTGGGTGGGAGAGAGGGGGGGGGGGGGGGGGGGGGGGGGTTGCAAGGGTCAGAAACGTGTAGGGGAGAGGATGACGCATGCAGGACACAACAAAGCATGGAGATGGGTGAGCAGGCAGCGGCGAGGCACAGCGAGGCCAGGCCAGGAAATGCAAGGGCGTGAAGGGCGGAGAGATAGAAAGAGCGCAATGAGTGCGCTGGAGATGAAGCATGATGGGTTCAAAGTTGAGAGAGTGATAGAAGGGCTAGCAGCATGCACTCACCGGTGGCGAGAATGAGGAACTCAGACGCCCATGCAGGCGAGGCGGAGGCGAGGAGGGAGAGCGGCAGCAGGAAATGCAACACTGCCTTCTCATGCACGTGCCATCCCAGTAAGAACGCACTCAGAAACACATGCGCCAGCGCTGCTGCTATGGCCTGTATGCTCCACCGCCGCCGCTCCCCTGTGGGCGTGTCATAGGGCTCACTCCCTCTACCCTCTCTCCCGCCCTTTTCGCCACCATCCCTCTCACCAACATTCCTGTCTGCACGATCCCTGTCAGCAGCGTCACTGGCAGCACCACAGATGTAGGCGGAGGGTCGGAGCCATATATGCAGCAGCACGGGCGCCATAGCACCCAGCACCAGCAGTAGAGACACCAGCGGCGTCACCTGTGGCACCACGCTGAACCCAACTGCATCCCCCACCAACCCCCGGGTCCAGCCGCCCTTCATTCCCAACGCCGGACCTCCTGCCGACCCTATTAACGAGCCTGCTGCCGAAGCTGCAGCAGCGAGGAGCTTGTCCGCGAGAGTGTAGAGAGCCCATAAGTTGGGCGCCCAGTAGGCGTGCATGAGGCCGCGGCCGAAGGGGAACAGACGGGCGATCAGGTTGGGCATCTGGTTTGTGACTATAAAGGGGGCGAAGGAAACAAGCAGCACTGTGACGACCACTGCTCCCAGTGTGACTATACGGGCGAGCGAGGTGAGGAGGGGGATGGAGCTGCCTGGCGCCGAGGCTGAAGTGGATTGCTGTTTCGCACCAGGGGAAATGCGTCTGGGCGGTTTGGAGCTGTTGTGTGTGGTGGTGTGCGGTGCAGCGGCGGCGGGGGGTGAAGGGAAGCAGTGGTGGCGGAGGAGGAAGACGAGGAAGAAGGGACCAGCGACGGCAAAGAGGTGCTTGAAGCAGCAGAGAGACGCAAAGGTGAGTGACGCCCACACGTGCCTCCCGTCCTGCCATGCCACGCAACACACCGAGCCATCGGTGCGGGAAATTCGAGTCAGCTTAAGTGAGATGAAGCACTAGAAGCAACGATCGACTGAGTGAAGCAGCAGCGGCGCGAGACGCAGATGCATCACGGGGGAGACGTACAGCGAGGAGGGCGAGGGAGAGTAGCAGCATTGCAAGCAGCATGCCGTTGTACTGGAAGTGCATGTGATCCACCAGCAGCAGCCCTGCTGACAGCACCACCGCCCCCGCTGCCACGTTGCGGTGCGCCCGAGAGGGCAGGCCGAGCGTGCAGCGCCACGCTGCCACGGCGAGCAGGCAGTCCGTGCCCATCACTGATACGCGCTGGGGGGAGCAGCCGGGAGGGGGATTGGATCAGGGTTAAAAAAAACGACCGTTTTATTGAAATTTTACCGTTAAAAACGGTACCGTAAAAAACGGTCGTAAAAAACGGTTTAAAACGGTTCCAGGAGGTGTTTCCTCTGTAACTAACAAAACGGCCACTTAGTGGGACCAAATTGAACCAGAAATGCAGCAGCATGAAGGGGATGGACCCCTTCTTGCATGTATGCGCTTGTTGGCATGATTGAAAATGTGTTTGACCTTGTTTTTCTCTTTTTTTTCTTGGTGAACAGAGTTCTCTAACAAAAAAACGGCCGTTTTTTTGGAAAATCACCGTAAAAAACGGACCGTACTTTTCGAAAACCGTAATTTTAAACCTTGGATTGGATTCTGTATCGGGTTGGATTTCGTGCCACGGCCAGCTGGCAGTCCGTGGCCATCACTGATACGCGCTGGGGGGAGCAGCCGGGAGGATTGGTTTATGAACTGTGTTGAGTTCTGAATCAGGTTGGATTTTGTCTGGTGCGATGTGTGGCATGTTGCGACGTGACGCTTGGGTGTGCCTTGAAACAACAATGTCAATTTTGTGATGACACGGGGTGTGGCACTGCACACCTGGAACAGCACGGTGGCGTAGCTGGCGTGTTCGAGGCCGTTAACGAGGTGGGTCATGAGCGGGTCGACGCGGCACGCGAGCAGCGCGAGGCAGCGCTCGAAGAAGGCGAAGAGCGGCGGGTAGTCCAGCGTCCACTGGCTCGTCGCGTCCTCGTACCACTGCCATTGTCGCAGAACAAGGATGCACACGTTTGCGAGGGAACGGAGGGAGCAAGAGGCGCGTGATAGCCCCCCCGGAGAGTCGAAGGAGCGGATGTGGACGATTAGAGATGGAGCTGTTCGGAGAACGAGCGGGAGGAGCTGTCAAAGCTTTGGGGCGCGTGCAGCATCTGGATTTAAAAGTCTGGTCGGGATTCAACCCTGAGGTACGGTGCCTCGAGACGGCAGTACATGAAGCGCAATGGGCTGCTGGATTCTAGGGTTGGCGAATGGGATGAATCTCGATTGTCGACGGACGGACCTGCGAGAGCGGCAGCGAGTGCGTGATGGCCAGCCAGTTGCGGTGCACCTCGAAGTCCGTGCTGCGATACGCCGGCACCAGCAGTACCTTGATGCACGTCGCCACGCCCGCCATCCACGCCACGTCCGCTAACGCCGTGGACGCACTCGCCCGTTCTTTGCGCGCCATTGCTACTGCGGCGGCAGTAGTGGCGGAAAAACGAGGAACAAGCCACCACAGTCTCGTCTCGTATTTCTCCTAACCGGATGGTGCATCGGAATTCAGCGGAGGTGCTTCTGTCACTTCGGGTTTGCAGATCGCAAAAACAAATTGTCCGACTGCGGCAAGAGTTGCGTGATACAAGACTCGTTTATACAATTTCATACACTTCAATTCTCACATAGGCAAAATTCAGAACTTTATTGCAAACTCTTTCCTAACGTCCTTGCAGCTATTGGCTACTGGACTTGTATCTCCAAAAACCACCTTCAAAACGCAACCACCCATGCAGGCTAACCTTTATGCTAATAATAATTCATCATCATGTTGTAAACCACATCAGCCCACGCATCAGGGACCCCTGGCAAGCACCAGTGGCTGCAATCCTTTCTCTTTGATCGCAGATGCGCATCGGGGCGCTGGGCACTCATATAAGTGATTTGCGCAACCCGGATTTTCTTGGATCGTTTGAATATCGACACTTGCTTTTTCATAGCCGGAATGGTGTAGCCATTGAGATGCGCAACGCCATCGGTCTCATTGGCAAAAGGGGCATTGGCGGTGGCGCAAGCATTCCCGGCATGAATTGGGGAAAAGGTCATGAATATGGGAAGGCCGCTGTAGGGTGTTTTATCAAAATAGTCATATAGAACGCCCATGGCCTTGCGGTATGCCCCCATGGGCTGCCAATTGGGGTTGGAGCCGAGCTTAGAGCTTGGCTGAGGAGCAGAAGGGTATGAGGGGAAGAGAGTGGGATGGATGGGATTGGTGAGTCATGATTGGAGTGGAATGTAATTCAACAATGGGATGGGATACAGTGGGGCGAGGTAGATGGGATGAATGAGTGGGAGGAGATGCGAAGGGAGAACCAGTGGGATCACACTGCGCTTACAGGCGTTACATTTCGAATGGGGGAACCAGAAAGCATGGGGCATAACAAATGGGGGAACCAGAGAGCATGGGACATACCGGGTGGAAAAGTAGAGAGCACGGGGCATACCGGGTGGAAGAACCAGAGAGCATGGGGCATACCGGGTGGAAGAACCAGAGAGCATGGGGCATACCGGGTGGAAGAACCAGTGGCCGGCGCTGAAAATGATAGAGTGCGTGTAGCGCAGAATGCCCGCCCACTTGGGGTTCACCACGTATGGCTGCGTCTGATCCTTGTACTGCGCCCGGGGGGAAACGGCCAGGGGGTAATTGGCCAGGGGTGAAGCGGCCAGGGGTGGTAATGGCCAGGGGAAAACAGGCACACGGTGAGCAGGAGGGGAGAATCAGTAAGGCGAAAGCAGCCACGGGGGAAGCACGGAAGAAGAAAGCACGGGGGGGAAGAATGGAGGGGGGACGTAGGGAGGGGGGAGAGAACGGAGGAGGGAAGAAGGGAGGGGGAAAAGTGGAGAGGGAGGCGAGAGGAAACGTCAGGGAGGGAGGCGTGCTCAAGAGAAGATGGATTCGCCACAAATGGGGGGCAACTCACGTATGGCGGGTGACTCACGTATCGCGGGCTCTGCACGATGTAGCCGCTGTTGATGGAGAGCAGCGTGAAGTTGTACTGCGCCGCGTGCAGCGACCCCACTGGCCTCGCGCCGCCTAGCCACGACTTCTTGAACTGGTGGTGGGGACGGGGAGGGGTGGATTGGGGTGGATTGGGGTGGAGTGGGTTGGTGGGGCTGGCTTGGGCCGACGAGGATGGGGGCGACGGAGCAAAAGCAACAGGGTTTTTATTCCTAGTTAGTCTACTCAGGATGGGATGGCTAATGATTCGTTGATAAGGGGATAAGCGCGGCCGATTCGTGCTTCGACGAGAGAATTCACTTCCGGAATTCACGAACGCGCACCTCAATTTTTGTGTATGCGGAGAGGATGCAGTGGACGGACGCGTGCAGGTTGTCGCTTAGCGAATCACCCACAAACGCAACGATCTTGTTCCGCATGGTCTCGAGAAACGTCTTGGGGTTGAATCTGCCGCCGCACGAAAGGGAGCCAAGAATCAAATCAACACATGGGTCTCGTATGGGGTGGAAAGGGGGGAGGGGAGGGGCGACGAATGGCGGAGGAGGAAGAAATGGGGAAAAATAAGCATTCGTAATCCATTGATCGTACCTCCATCGGTCGTACGAGCAAGGCGGCGCCGGGACCCACACGTATCCGGCCGGGTTCCGCCCGACAGTGTCACATGAGAAGCCCGCCGCGCACCCGCTGGCGTAGGGCGGCTTGTAGTTGGGGATGGCGGACGTGCGAACCCAGCTGCGCACGCGGAGCGGTTGGGGAAGGGCGGTTGGGATTGCGAGGTGAGATCGAGGGGGGAAGCGCACATTGGTGGGTTGCGGAGTGCTTGACAAGAGTGTGAAGAAGTTCAAGGGGAGAGATGCCAGATGCTCAGCGTTCAAATGAGGCTCTTCAGAACAACATGGGTAGGAAGAATGGGGGGAATTTCGGGGTGCGGGGAGGTGTAGAAAGGTAGTCTAAGAGGAGAGTAAGCATGAAAGCAACATCCACGCGGAGCTTACCTCCCTCTTCGATAGTCGCAACCTGCTGATGCCCGACTTCCGACTAGGGAGCGACGTACAATACCGTCGCCAGAGCTGTTCGCTTGTCGCATGAGCCACCGCACAGCGGCATCTGCCCACTCGTCGCTCGCACGGGAGCGAAGGAGTGCGCTGGACGATCGAGCCGGATGGGGGAGAAGGGAGGAAGATGCGACGAGGACAAGGAGCGAGAGCATGGTCGCGGGGAGATGAGACGGTCTCGGCGTTACGCGACTCCGTGCAAGCGACGAGTCCATTGCAGATACAGCTTTCAAATGCTCTCTTTACGCCACACGTGCAGATAAGGCGCTGTGGGGAGATCAGAGCGGTGTGATCGACGAGGCAATCGATGAGCACCCGCGTAGTAGGATTTTCTGGCGCGCGAGAATGCCTGACTCGGTAGATCACACGGATTGTCGCTGTGCAAAGCTAAAATTCCCAAAGCGCGGAGCTTCGTGGTTACTAGCGAACGATGGGCTGCGAGAGGCAACACGGCAGACCCTAGATTCAAGCTCCAGATGTCTACAGCGATACAATTCAGTGCGTCCTTCAGTTCGGTGTCGGTCGCTCGGTTGATGCAGGGAATGGTGAGGTGATGTCACTCAGCTCTCCTTGCTTGCAACATGGATGGTAGCGGGAGTTGATTAGTTGTGGAGGGGCCGGCGGGGGGCAACATTCGTGATGATGGCGAGCCGAGATCGGGGAGTTTTCAGTTGGCGCATTTCGCGTTTCATCCTCGGGTCGTCTATTTCCGAATCGCGGTTTGTCGGCTGGTGGAGTCGCTTGAGACCTCAATTCGCTGGGCAGATGTGAATTGTTATTGCACTCTGATTTCCCCCTTTCGCGAAATGAGTGACACTCGATTCTTTTTGCAAAAATAGTCAAGGCCTTGGAGATTGGTTCGAAAAGAAATGGGATGGAGGAAACCTGGACATCACCGAATCGCACTGTCCGTTTGGCGATCAGACACGACCAGCTATCCGTCGCCAAACTCCCGAATGAGGGGAACGTGCAAAATCCGCGCCCCGTTGTTGAACAGATTCCGTTTTGCAGACCTCACTAAATAATATAGGATTTAATGCTGCAATGTAGCAAGAAACAGGTGCAAACATTTAGATACATGCATAAACAATGGGACTGATGAACCTCAGGTGCCTGCAAGAGCAACAGATTGAGCAATAACTTAAACAAACAGGATTGACACACTCCCAGAGCTCCAGATACTACGAAGCCCGTCTTGCTCCTCAAAAAAACCCATAACTTCCAAAACCGGCAATGACACTGCTACCAATATTGCCGCAAGGATTCCACTAGCTAGCTGACCATGCAGTAACCACAACAGAGATTAGTGGTGGGTACCATGAAGGTGGTGACGTGACAACTAAGCATGCCACGAGGCATCTCATTTGTGGGAGGTCATTCGCCTGAACGAAAGCAGGTGATGCTTTCTGCGTGTGGCCATCGCAACGAGGGGTTGAAGGAGGAGTGGGGAAAGGGGAATGGGGCAATGGTGAATTAGATGGGCGAAAGAGTGAGATGTCTTCAGCCAAAGCAACATTAACACAGAATCCCCTCACCTGCCAGATGGTGTGGTAGCAGCAGTGGCAGCAGAGGCAGCAGGAGCAGGAGCAGGAGCAGGAGCAGGAGTGGAAGGAGCTGATTGGGCAGGCAGGAGTGAGGGCAGTGCAGTGCTGGGCGCGGACTCGTCTGTGGCCACTCGAGGCACTGGATCAGGTGCCTGAGGGGAGGCACTTCCCTCTTCTGCTACCACTGCAGCTGAAGCAGCCATGGAGCCAGCAGGCCATGCAGCAGCGCTGGTGGCGGCGCTGCTATATGCTGGTCTGTCGGAGGAGCGGTGGGAGAACCAGCGTACAAACTTGCTGCCAGCTGAGGCGGAGGCAGAAGCACTGGCGGCGGTGGTGGAGTGGGGGGGCGTGCGGGGCGTGCTGGCCGTGGTGGAAAACGTGGTGCCGGACACACTCGTGCCTGAGGCTGCTGAAGCAGCACTGTCAGCTGCAGGGTCTGCTGGTGCTGCAGCAGCAGCATGCTGATCCAAGTCAAGCACAAGGGAGAGCTTCTTGGAGACAGCCTTGCCCAGTGGCTTGGCGAGGCCTGCAGCAGGGACCAGAGAAGGAGCAGGAGAGGAGCTGGCAGAAGCGGCGCCCATGGTGGTGGTGGCATTGGTGGTGGTGGCAGTGGGGTTGGTGGAGGCAGCGGCTTGGATAGCAGCGAATCTGGCCTTGTGCAGCTCGCCACGCACACAGGCCGTCAACCAGTGCAGGCGCGTCAGCTCGTCCCGCTCTGCCATACCCCTCGCCTTGGTCTCCTCCACCTGTACCCACAGTCGGGAAGGCACACATGATGATGCATGAGTTGAAGCCAACTGGGGTGCTGCATGGGGGAAAACGGAGAGTGGTGCGGTGAAAGGTGGGGGGGGTTGGGGGAGGTTGTGGAAAGCGCAGGGGGGGGACGAGGAGGCGTGTACGGGAGGAGGGAAGGGAGGGTTACACATGAGGTTTATGGTGTGGGCGTCTCACCTGGTCCAGAATGTCCCACACTCGAGCAGGCACCTCCATCTTGAGCCCGTCAGAAGACGCCACCTTAGCACTCCCACCACTTGGTACCATGTCCTCTGCTCTGCTGCTTGCCCTTCTTTCCTCACCATCGGCCCCCCCTTGCAACATCGCATCTTTGATCACCCCTCTGGTGTGCCTCAGCAGCATCACCTCTTCCTCCAGCAACTCCTTTGCTGCCACTGCATCCCGTGCCTGCCAAGTCAAGAGCATAAAACAGGAAATAAGATGAGGACGATGAGATAGGATGGAGGAGGAGAAACCAGGGCGGAAAACATTCTTCATGTACAACAAGTTCAATCACCCCAGCCAGCGGCAAAGCCCACCTGGAATTCAGCAGCACTGCGGCGCTGCTGCTCCTCAGCGAGCTCCTTCTCCAGCACCAGCAGCCGCGTCATCATCTCGCCGCCCTTCACCTCCAGCTCGCCATTCCGCTGCACCTGCTCAGCCAGCGTGCCCTGCAGCCCGCGCTCCCACTCCTCCGCGTCCTCGCGCGTCTCCTTGCTCCACACCAGCGTCTTCCGCAGCCCCATCGCCTCCTTCGTCGCCAGCTGCAGCTGCTCCAGCAGCCCCATCTCTGCTGCCTGTGCCTTCTGCAGCTGCTGCCGCAGCAGCGCTGCGTCTGCTTCCTCTGCTGCTGCCCGCCGTTCTGCCACTGCTGCTGATCGTCTGAGGGAGGAGAGTTCTTTCTGGGCAGCTGAGAGCTCCTTGTCGAGATCTTTTCGCTGCTGTTTGACCTCCGCCAGCTCACGCCGCAGCGCTGCTGACTCGCCCTTCTCCTGCGCCAGCATGGTTTCGATGTATTCCACGTCAGCAGTGAGGCTCTTCTCTCGCCGCTTCAGCCGCTCATTCTCTAGCCTCACCTTCCCCAGTTGCGCCTTCAACTGGGCAGAAGAGGAAGACTCCTCGCTTCTTCCTCCGTCCCCATCTTTCTTTAAATCCGACGCCCCGTTTTCGCCTGTTTCCCCTGCCTCATCCGCTTCGTTTCCTCCCTGTCCTGTCCCTTCCGCGGGGACATACGACCAGTCCTCTACTTCTTGTTTTAGCCGAGTCAGGGCGATTTCCGCTTGCACCTTCTCCACGCTCACACTCGCCAGCTCAACTCTGAGTCGGTTCAGCTCAGCACGGCGCCGTGCCAGCTCAGTTTCATATCGTGCCACCTCAGTCTTCTTCCTTGACAGCTCAGCATCGACAACAGAGACAGAGGGACTGGACGAGAGCTCAAGAGGAAACTCCCCACTCAGTCCCGCAGAGCTCCTCCCTGCTCCACCACCCGCCATTCCCACCGCCCTGTCTTCCAGAGGGCCGCCATTTGCCAGGCCATAGCGCCGATTCCCCGCGGTCGCGCCAGCAGCAGCGCGAGCGAGCGACGGTTCTGACGTGGAAAGCGTCATTCGGGACGTTGAAACCCGCTCAGGGTCTTTTCCGCTGCCGCTGAACCGCTCAATCGCTCCCGCGACGGTGTCCGCACCCCCTGGCTCGCCTCTCCGCTTCTCCCTGCTCTTCTTTCCGCCCGACGACTTGCGCGATTTGCCTGGCGTTTTTTCTGGAGAGATGGGCTGAGGTTGCTGTTTGCTCTGCTTGGGGAGTCCCTCGATGGATCGAATCAAGGAGCCCACCGAGCCCCCCTCCTTACTGTCACCCTCTTCGTCATCCCCAATAACCACTGCAACCCCTTCCACGCCTCCTGTTCCCCCGCCTTCCGCTTCCCCACCACCGCTCCCCTCTCCACCCGCGCGCCCGTCGCTGTACCCCACCTGCCACCATCCGCCCTCCCCACCATCCCCCTCCTTGCGGTACTCCTCGCGCCCCTCCCCGCCCGCCACCTCGTAGCCCAGCGCTTCCATGCGCTCGGCGCGGGCGCGCGACTCCTCGAGCGCCATGATCTCGCAAAGCGCTTCCATCTCCTCCATGCTCATCCCGTCCAACCCCTCCTCCGCCAACTGCTCCTCCGTCAACTGCTCTCCGCCGCCGAAGGATTCCTCGGCAGGGTCGTATTGCAAGGCAGGAGTTTCGACTGTTCTCGGGGAGGGAATTGACTGTCGTCTGACGGACTGCTGGGAATCGCCGGTTGGACTTGGACGGTCGGATTGGACTCGCTTGTACTGAATTTTGGCGGTGCTGTTGCCGCCGACGCGGCGTGATAGGGAGATTGCCGTGGACGGCGACGGCGGCTCGCATTCGAACATGGAGGCGATACGCTGCACCTTAGACAGCTGCGGCTCGAATCGAGACGCGAGCTGCTTCACTCGGCTAGGACTCGGGTCGTCCATGGCTCCTTACTGTACTGTTGGTCTGCTTTTTTAAGTGCGACAACGAGAGGTGTGATATAATGATATCCTTCACTGGTATGTGTTGATAAGCTTCTTCTGACTGATGGAAGGTCACCTGATTTTTATCAAATTACGAACTTCAGGACAACTATATTAACCTGCACGCACTGGGTCGACATATTGTCAAGCTTAGTAAGCTGTTATTTCGTCGTTCCGCATGTCCAACGGCAAATAAAGGGTCTGATATGGACGAATCAGACTTCCGTCCGAGGCACACACCATGACAGCGATGAAGTCCATCAAGCCATACGACGACAGGCAGGACGCATCAAGAATTCAAACATTCATGATGCCTGACAATCTCTGGGATGTCCGAGCCTGACAAATGACTTGTTGCCCCATCCGTGTCGTGATAGGCTGGAGCGTGCAAAACAGGGGAACGGTAGTCAGACACTCTGCCGTGGGAGCACAGTCTGGCAGCGCCTTCGAGTGCAAATTACTCAGCGCCACGTGGCCACTCTTCCTGTCAGCACCTCTCAGAGAGAAATCGGTTTCGATTCTGTTCCGGTATTAGTATGGCTGTGACAAATACAAGTGTAATTCTTTTTTTATGGTTCTCACCTTAGCTGAAAGCCTCTTCACTTCTACATATTTAGCAGCTATAGATTCAAAACCAGCTACACTATCTCATCCAAATCAACACACTATCTCCTGATCTTCTAGAAACTTTGTAGCTAGTAGGCACGGAGGCACACTCAGCCGGATGGTTCAATGTATATACCATTCAATGCGCGAACATCAAACAGCAATATCTGTTACCTGAAAAAATCGCCATACCACCAGGGGCTATTGCACTTGCAATAATGATTACCCATAGTTGACCCGTCCCCCTCAACCCCGCTTGGTTGAACCTGTCCCACTCAACTCTACTTGCAGATAACGATTACACATAGTTGACCTTGATATGAGAATAACCGCCATGTAGGTCCTCTGCTAGCAGCTTCCGCAAACCCATGGTAATTGCCCCTGGAGAACCTGAATTGTGGAAGAACGAAACAAGTGTCAGCAGTAATCATTATGACCCTGGCGCAACACAACTTCGTTAAAACCTTACCGCTTGCAATGACTTGGTCATCCCATCGAATCACAGGGGTCACCAACACCCCGCTGCCCACAAGCATCATTTCTTTGCACTGTCGTGCTTCAGACTCTGAAACTGGCCGGTGGTAAATCCTGCTTATTCTAGGAACTGAATCTTCTTCCAACAGTTCTTCTGCAAGTGCCAAAACTCGCTTCATTGTACACCCTGCCAATACCTGCAGCACATTACAAAAAATTAGCATCCGCAGCCAAAAGCCGAAGGGCAGATAAGAAAAAAAATAGCACAGAACCAAACTCACCCGGCTGAACTCAGGAACAAGAAACTCGTTTTGGTCATTAACAAACTGCCAGCAGAAGAGCAAACCAGTGGACGTTAAAACAATTTTATCAGCCATGCAATGTCATCCCTCTCCAGACGACGTTGCCTAGACTTACGGCAACATTCATGCTGGGACCTTCTCCAACGTTGCCATTCTCATCAATCCAAATGCCTTCAAACACACCCCTCTGCACGTTTCAAACACACAGGCTAACTTAGCGTTCCCATCCACATTATGAGGCAAAATCTGCTAAAAAGTTAGCCCATACCTCTTCAGCCTCCATCTTCACCAGAGTATTAGGCATGTAATTTACATTCTTCATAGTTGAGAACATTGGAGCTTTCATTGGAACACTTGACGTAGCCTGCAAGTTACCAAACGAGCACACCGAGCTCAGACACCAATCTCCACTGAAGGAAAAGGCAGTAAGAGCAAAAAAGAGTAACTGACCACTGTAACCCCATCAACTGGAGCCTCCAGATTTGTGAACTTATTATCCGCAACGACCATGACGTAAAAGGTACTTCTTGGACACCTGCAAGAATGGATGACAATAATTATTGACTGACCGGAAACCTTTGGAATGCTACAAAGACACACGGCAATGCGCCTACTCTTTAGTGGATAAAGTGAAACCACCAGGTCCAACTGAGAGCCAGTATCGAGTACTGCCGTCCCTCACTCCGCTAACTGCACAGGTATTGAATGGACATAAAATGCACCTGACGCATCGCTGGATAAGGACTTGTTCCTACGATACGGCAAGTGCATACGTGAGAGTGCGGTTACTGACCAGCGACAGTCTGGATGATAATAGCTTTAAGCTCTTCTCGAGAATATGAGTGTTCAATTCTTGCCGCACGAGCTGACTTTATAAAACGGTCAACATGCTCATCAAGCTCATATAAGTACCTGCACGTGGAAAAAAAAAGACCACAATTTGCAACTTGAAGGCGGCCATGGGTACAAACATCAGAAAACCCTTTTTATGTGCGCAACTTACCCTGAGCAAATAATGGCGGTGTCAAAAACAGCGTGGCCTCTGTGAGCCATGTGATCGTCAATAGGAAGTACCATAGCTGCTGGATCCGTCGTGATTCCGCCGACCACACTCGAGTAAAACGCGCGATAGTTTCGTTGATTAGGATGCTTGTGGCCAGCAAGCCTCTCCGCCACCTGATAAATGCGTTTGACTGTGAGAAAAGTCGTGAGAAGGGAAATTTGACATTGTGCTGAGAAATACCTACCTCCGTTTGCGAAAGGACGGGAATTGAATCTACATTGCTCTTCGTAACTTCGCTCAGAATTGTGGCAGGCGCAACGCAACTGCTCCTGCAGGGTTTCAAGGGCTTAGAACGTGGCAATTCCTTAAGCCAAGGGTTGAAGGAGCAGCACAGAACCTCAAGCGAAACGGACACGCGATTGGATCTGCGTGCAGACGAAAGAGATGTCGACGACACATTGGGAGAACTATCCACTCCAAGCAAACGGGCGGGTGCGGATAAAGCGCTAGAGGTGAAGGACGCCATACTGCAAGAGATGAAGGATGCAATACTGCTAGAAGTGTAGGACGCAATACTGCTAGAAGTGCAGGATGCACACAGATTTTGTAAGTAAGGGTGACCAGCAGAGGATCTAACAAGAGAACCTGGACGGGAAGACTGCAAATACAGGCAACCAAATCGCATTGGTGACTGGACCTTGACTATAAGTGCTTCGACATTGCGTCGATCCGGTAAGCATAGGGCCGAATCAATGCATCGTTCTGCTACCTTCTCGATCAAGGATATGCACATGGAAAATAGAACTATTTACACTATGCATACAGGCCAATAGCAATACAGATCCACATTTCCATTTTCCAGCCCATGACGCTGCAGTATCATTGCCTAGTCAGAAGAAACTTCATCTTCTTCAGCGGCTTTTTCTAGAAACTCCTTGGCTCTATTGAGGAGTGGATGACAATCAACATCAGGCGCATGGAGTGCTTTGCTGCTCTGCACCTTGATGGCAAGGTCCACAACAAGTGATCGCCACTGCTGCTCCCTCTTCTCTGCCACAGCAATCTGACAAGCGAGGACCAGAGAAATAGGAGACGCTAAATGAATCAAAAGCTGACGACCGCATTTCAGTTGAGCACAACAGTGTCCTTTGCCAGCTAATTGGCAATGAAGCATGCACTCACCCTGTGGCGTGCATCCATTTCCAGCATGTGTGATGCCGATCGCACACTGAAGGAGTTCATCAGCAGCAGCGGACTTTGATCTGTCCAGCAGCCTGGCAGGCCTGAGGCACTGGAACTTTTCTCCTGCTTGCTTGCACCACTGCTCCTCCTGCCACCAATTCTAATGCCTCCTCTCATGCTGCTGCTGCTAGAGGCACTGTTTCGTTTGCTGCTGGGAACAGGAATGGGTGGTTCATTGAAGGCCCTCCCATGCCTCCTTCCACCTGAATCCCTCTGCTCCCTCCGCCCCTTCTTGTTGGGAATTTCAACACCCATTTCCTCCATTTCTTGCCTGTCTGCAGTTTGAGTAAATTCCTTGCAGCCTTCATGCCTTGTAGACCCCCCCCCATCCAGCACTGCTGCAGTTGGACTCGCACATTCCCTCCCTGCTGTCAGCTCAGCCCCTCGCTGTGCCCCTCCCTCACCAATCAATTCAGCGACAGGTGATACCTCAAATGATACACACCTGCTAAGTCGCCCTTGTTCCGTTGTCATCCCACCACCAATCCGGTCCCATCTCTCTGCGCTCCCCCGTCTAACCATACGCCTCATCTGCTTCCTCCCTTCAAACGCAGGAGCTTGTGACGCTGATCCTGCAGCTGTTCCTACCGTGACTGCTGCATCTCCACCTCCTGCTATGACTGCTGTTGATGTGGCTGCGACTGCTACAGGAGCCAAAACCACAGCTCCACTCACTGCAGCCTCTGCTGTTGCTTCCATGGACCATGTCCCTACATGAGCAGCATTCCACACACCTGATCTGTTGAAAACACCTGAGTTTGAAATAACAGCTGGAGGCACACTGGATGGGCTGCTGCTGCCGGAGCTGCCTTCAATAACTGGAGGGAGAGAGGCCATGGACAGTTCATGCTCCATGCCGGCCAGAGGCAAGAACATCGCCCCGCCATTGTGACCCTGCCCACCCCTTAGCCCTCCTCCTGCTCCTTCCCCAACAGCTGCAGAGTCACTTGCAGCTCTGCATTCACGGACTCTTCCCCAGTCTTCAGCAGCAACACCAGATGTGCTTGCATACACACTGCCTCCACGGACCACATCACTAGCCGTGTTCCCAGCGGCTGGTAAACTCCCTCTCCCTGCTGCTACTGTTCCTCTTGACCCTTCATCTGTTCCTGCTCCTGCTCCTCCGCTCCACAACACTCCACCACCCCACACTCCACTCCCCCATACCCCACCTCCCCAGCCTGACCCAGGCCCAAATCCAAGAGAAAGGATGTTCATGAAGCTTGAGTTCTTTCGAATCGTGTCAGCTGCAACAGGAGCAGGGTCACCACCACTACCACCACCAGCAGCGGAAATCACGGGTGGATAAGCCAGTGAAGCTTGAGAGGCAGAAGCAGAGTCAGCAGGGCCTGGGAAGGGGTGAGGGGCATCCCTTCGGCCCATAATGGCACCTGATTTGTCGGTTGAGACAGCAGTGGGGTGGCGGAGAACGCCGGGGAGAGAGGAGAGGGAGGAGAGGTTGCGGAGATTTTCCCAGGAGGGAGCGTGGGGGAGGAAGTGGGGGCGGCGAAGAGTAGCTGGGACAGGCTGGACGTCGTGAAACTTGGTGAAGTCCTGCACAAGCAGTGGGGGACACGAGTGTTGATTAGGTGGAATGGACAACAACTGAAATGTTGCAAGCAGCAAGAAGGACCAGAAAATACTTCGTGCACATGTGTGCGAGCGTGTGTGGAGCGAACAAAGAGCGGGAGTGTAGATGCTTGGCGGATAGACAGAAAGGACAAACAGGAGATTGGGCTCAGAAAGGATGGAACAACAGATATGGCAACTCACCACGCGTCGGATTCCACTTGGTGACCGCCTGACCATGGTGCTGCCACAATGAACGAACCAGATGGGTACATAAAAAGGATGAGCAAGCAAAGAAACAAACCCTCAGCAATTTCACAGGAACCACAAAAGACATTTAATAAATCAAGAAAGAGTGATGAAGAAAGTGTGTGGCCGTAATGAAGAGGTAAGTGCTCCCAGCTCACGAGAAGCGGTGGTTGAACTTGATGTCACAAGGCGAGTAGGAATGTCGGGCTGAAGTCACAGGTGCACATGGGAGGAACAGCAAGGACACAGTGCGGTAGTTAACTTAACTGGGCAACCAGAAAAGTGCTTCAGGGTGTGAAGACAGCATCTGTCGGAAGAAGACAATAAAGCTATTCAGACGCATTTGCAAAACATCTTAGCACGAGGTACTACACAGTGGGTCATAAGCACCTTGCAGCTTGGCTGATGTTGGAGCATCTACGCCCTCTATAAGCACAAGGAACTCAATGTCAGCGCGTTCCATCATCTACAATCACATCCATGTGGAACAGAAGATGCGGGATGGGACTTTTGGGAGTGAAAGAGAGTTGTTGGAATAAAAGTGACAGTTAAAGGCATTCTTGGACAACATGCTCCAAATTCATGTGGACCACAGGCAAGCAGAAAGGGCGAACATAGGATGTAGCAGCAGCAAAGACTTACTGAGGTGGGATGCGAAATGAGATGGGATACGGGACTTACAGCAAGGGACATGCCATGGAGTGGGCTGTGCTTCGTGATTGCATGAGTGATGATGCAGGGGAGAGCAAGAAAAACGAAGCCCCCTCCTAGGATCTGCGACGCAAGGACACGCGGGAAGGGTGGAAGACGACTTAGCAGGACGTTTGAACTGACAGGCACAACGTGCTACTATCACAAATCATGAAAACTGGCAGTCTCGCACCAAGAGGCCCATGATGCCATTCAACCGAAACATGGGTCTGCAGCGGGAATCTTCACAGCTACGATGAGATGAGACTGACCGGAAGATTGGAGAACTTGAAGAGCGCCTCATTCTCTGCACTCATGATATTGTTGATTGCCACCAGCAGCTGTGCATGTGCCTGCAAGATTGATGATCAACAGTTAGCAGTCAGCAAGCCCAAACAACCTGATCGTGCTGTTCCAGTTGGTGCCTACCTCTATGAGTTGGTGCCTACCTCTATGAGTTGGTGCCTACCTCTATGAGTTGGTGCCTACCTCTATGAGTTGGTGCCTACCTCTATGAGTTGGTGCTTGCGAACATTAGCAACCCGGAATGAAAGGCGAGGCACTCCGTCTTCCTGCCATAGCGCAAATTGAAGCCAAAGCAAATACAGTAGCAGCAGGGTGTCAAGACAAGGAAAGGAAAGCCATGGCAGCCTCTGATGCACTAGAACAGCAGGAGCAACAAACATCATCACCTCGTTGAGCACCATGCATTGGCTGAACACGAGTGATGAAGCTCGACGGGAGGGAAGGGCAAACCTGCACGGATGACAAAGCAGACATATCACATCATTGTTGCCTGACAAGCGGTGAGCGTGTCTGTGATATGCATGTCAGCATATCGAACTGTATCTTGATTGAAACATCCTACTCAATCTCTCTACTAAACATGTGCTTCCTGCTCTCCACTTACCGTGTGTAGACTATCCCCAGCAAGGCATAGGCGACAATCAAAGCAGCAAGTGATTGGAGGGCGATAAGGAGGTTCAGTGTGAAGCAGTTAGGATCAGGAACCAGATCTCCCCCAAACCCTGCACACAAAAAGAATTCAGCGTAGCAGGAAGGAAAAGAACAGGAGGGGTGGGTGAGGTCTGCCAAAGGCTGCAAGCAAAAGATAACACCATGTTGAAAATGGGAAGCAAGTGACACAACACTACTTACCAATGGTCATGGCGGACTGAACACTGATTGATTTCACAACACAGATTGTGTTTAAGGTGTACAAAATATTGCCACAACAGGTCCACAGACAAGAACAAAGAGGATGTCAGTCACTCGAAAAAAAAAAAAAAAAAAAAAAAAAAAAAAAAAAAAACGCATTGCCAGCAGTTATTGTCTTACCTGAACCATAAAGCATGCCAGTAATTCTTAACCCCCGGGATGCAGTTATACTGCACAGACTGGTCAAAGATATGCACATTCCACACATCCATGAAAATAGAATCAACAATGCTGCTACTTCAATGGAACCTGGGCACTACAAGCTATACATTAATGCAAGAGAGAAATAAAATCTCGTGATGTAATGTAAATGGACAGGTCCGAGAGCTGATGCCCACCTGATAGTAATAGGGGACAGCAAACCCTCCAAATAGCAGCGAGTAGCCAAGCAGAAGTAACGGGTAGAAGCGGACGTTAGGAATCTGCAAAGAACAGATACGATGACAGCCGTCACACGTCAGCTGAAAGAGTAACGGTTCAGTGAATTTTGGAGTGCATGATGCATCTACTACACAGTGTGATCCAGCTGATCCAGCAAAATCAGGAACATGCAACAATCAGCAGCGAGGGACTGGGATAACCGCAGCATAAGAACTTCCGTACGTTGATCAGCGTGTGAAATAGATCACTCCAATACGCTGTCAGCTTGGGAACTCCACGCCGTTCCACATTCAAAGTACCCCTGTACGCACAAAGCCAAGGATGCCGTCAGAGCAACAAGAGGATTGTGAGGTGGTCTAGAGAGTGAGAGCGCGAAGCCAAGTGCCTGCCTCATAGAGAGCAGATTGAAGGAACTATTGACTCACGATGTATCGACCAACGGCAGCTTGGCTGGTTTCTGCTCCATGTCGCCTTGCGACCCACGCTTCCGCAAGAACGATCCATAAGGAGTCCTTTGCTGGTTCGTCGCCTGCTTTGTGTGAACCGGAAGCAGCGGTTCCCTGTCATTCCAGCTGTTATCGCGTCGTAGATTGCTCCGACTACCGCTGCTACACGCAGACTGCGGACTGTCGACAGGGCTCCTACTGCCGGAGCTGCTTGGTCCAGGATCGTACGAAACCGCTATTTCGCCTTCGACACGCCGCTTTGGCATCGGATCGAAGCGACGAGCCGATGTAATAAGACCTCTTTAGGAGTGACTAGCAAGGGTGGTATTCCAGGAAGAGCCTTGGAAACTGATGGTTCTACCAGTGAAGTGCTTCAAATACCCACGTGCTTGGAAAAATGAATCACGTGATCAGGGAGTCGCTAGTTGTGTGGTGGAGCAGCTTGATGACAGGAAACGAAAATTTACACAACCTTATTCTCTGAAATTTCTGTGCAGCTGGCTGCTGCCTTATACCTTGTAAACTGCTGGCTTAGAGTGACACACTGAATGGGGACAGCGAATGAGGGAACATGAGGGAGTGACGTGGACTTCGAAATGCTTGCGGTGGATGTGCCAGCTGTCCACAATTCCCCCTCATTTTGCCTCGGCAATCCCTGGAGCCTACAATTTGGTTGTGCGCCGAACCTAGCCTTCTTTGGGATTGCCGTGTCAAGGAGGCCTTCCTGTAAGCCGAGCCTAGTAGGGAAATCAGTCGCACAACCCAGTTCATTATTCCAAATTTTCCAAATTTCCATTTCATTCACATTCCGACTATCTCTCTCCATTTCAGCTGTGTTTCCCGTCGAAGAGTTGCAGCTAGTACTTAGGTAGCTATGGCTCTTCAGCCTGTGCACTCGCTTCGTGTGCACTCATCGCCGGGAGCCTCGCATCCTATCTTTTCCGCCAGAAGCGGACCACTTACCGATGTCGCACCTCGATCCACGCATTTCGTCAAGGCTAATAATATAGCATTTATTGCAAGCTTACGAAGCCATGGATTTGCCTCCTCTTTCCTCCGTCCAGGGCCGTGCCGTCCTCGTGTCGTCTCAGTAGCCTCTCACAGAAGGGCTCTAGTCACAGCTGCCTCGGCGGGTCAAAATGAACCTGCACACGACGAGAGGAGTGGGTCCTTAGCGCGTGATGTTCCTTCTAGAGCACCACCAGGTCAAGAGCTGAAGGAGTCATTGGACTTTATGAAGCGTCGCTTAGGAGAATCCTTTTCAAAGCTGTTCGCAAACCCGTCGCATAGTATTCGCGAAGCATGCGACCAATTCGGACGGCTTGCAGCGTCTGTCGCGATTACTGCTACAGTCCTGTCATCTGCCATGCCGGCATACGCTGGTGCGGTGGTGGCACCGCCACGTAAGCTTATGGCGGATGAGCTGGCGACTGTGAAGCTGTTCAATGACAACACCGCGTCCGTCGTGTACATAACGAACCTCGCCACTAGGTACGTGCGTGCCCGCTCGATCGACGAGGATGTAAGGAGTCTGGAGAACTCACAATGAAACATAGGTCAGGAATTGGCATCGCATGGCAATTTGAACTTGTATCACTGAACTTGTGCACGCGAACTGAGATGGTTCTCACCAAATACATATCCGTGTCCATATCTCAATGATTATGCATGCACGTTCTGTTCTAATGCATTCATGCTCGCGTGCTTGTATGTGTTGGTCTGTACATGACCATCTCTATGTGAGTGTGATGTGAGCATGTGCGTGTGACTGACTGTGCATGGGAAAATGTGTGTGTGTCATTGTATGCATGCGACTGTCGTTGCAGGAAGGACGCGTTCACACTGGATGTGATGCAGGTGCCTCAGGGGACAGGGTCAGGCTTCTTATGGGACACGGAAGGCCATGTGGTTACCAACTTCCACGTCATCAGGCGCGCCACTGACCTCAGGTATGGTCTGAGGACGGAAGTTATTCATGCAGATGCGTATGAACTGAATTGACAATTGTTGCACATCCAAGCTAGAATGTGGCAATGGATAGTGACAGAAAGACCTCCACAAGAGCACTATCCTTTTCGTTCCTCTTTCTCCGCTCCCAACATCGTCCCTAACAGAGTGACCTTATCGGACCAGTCAGTGTACGAGGCGACAGTGGTGGGAGCGGATCCCAACAAGGACGTGGCAGTGCTGCACATTGATGCGCCCCCTGAGAAGCTAAGACCGCTGCCTGTAGGCTCCTCCTCGGACCTGCTGGTCGGCCAGAAGGTCTTCGCCATCGGCAACCCCGTGAGTTCTGCTCCATCCGTCAACTTGTTGCCTACCCCTCTAGAAGTTGAACCCATCTTCCATCCTTCTTCGCATCTTTGTTCCTCCCTCTACTCTGTCCGCCTGCCATATTCTCTCAATGTGGCTTCTCCCCTTGATCTGCACACTGTATTTCCCTAATGAACATACTTTGTCTCCCTATTCTCCTTTCCCTTTTCTTTTGTGCTTTTGTCATGCCTTAGTTCGGACTGGACCACACACTCACAACAGGAGTCATCAGGTACATCCATTTCCACTCGTCTTCCTGTTTCCTTTCACTCTCACTTCCTCATCCATCTGCATATCCTCTGGCTATACACCCTCGTTACAACCATGCAATCGTAAACGTCTTCTCCCACGGCCCACCACTTTTTTCTCAGTGGATTGCAGCGCGAAATAACATCAGTAACGCGACGGCCCATTCAGGACGTGATTCAGACTGATGCTGCCATCAACCCTGGCAACAGCGGAGGGCCTCTCCTCGACTCCAGCGGCACCCTCATCGGCATCAACACCGCTATTTATTCGCCATCTGGCGCATCCTCAGGCGTTGGATTCGCTATCCCTGTAGACACAGTAAGTATTCCTGAGCGTTACGACACGAAATTTTCGAAGGTAGATTTCCCGCACTCCATCTCACCCGCCTCTCAGGTCCCATCTTCCCCATGCTTGGGTCAGAAGCCGATTCTGTTTCACGCCAAACAGCCCATGTTCAGCGCAATCCTCTCACTACTCATGACACGTGCTTGGAATATCACTCATCATACTGACTCTTTCATGGCATGTGCATGGCAGGTGAGTGGCATCGTGGAGCAGATCATAGAGTACGGGCAGGTGACACGGCCGGCGCTCAACCTGGCCTTTGCACCGGAGCAGCTGGTGGATCAGCTCGGCATCTCGGGGGTGCTCGTGCTGGAAGTCAACCCCAACGGCGCTGCTGCCAAGGCTGTGAGCCCATGCATCGTTTTGCCCAAACACATTGCTAGCAGAGAAGCTCTTTTGTTCTTCGACTTGTATTCACGCAGCTCAGTTGAATCCAGCGCAGAGCTTGACACTGGCATTCAGGCTCACCAGGGTCATTGGTCAATCCCTTGCTGCAACTGCAGCCACTTAGCCCTCTCAGTGACTCCTCTCGTGCACGTTGTGCTCAGGGCCTGCGCCCAACGTCACGAGACAGCTTTGGGCGGCTAATGCTGGGGGACATCATCACGGCCATTGATGGCAAGCCCATCTATTCCGGCTCGGACCTCTACAAGATCCTGGACAAGTGCCAAGTTGGCCAGACCGTGAGTGTGCTCATGTCACTACCTTCTGAGCATGTACTTGTGGTGACTGGATGTGTGGATGCGTGTGAAGCACTTGTACGGTACTTATGCCTAGGCTTTTGCTCCTCCTGGCAATGCATTTGTTACTGACATGAGCTACTGGCACTTGTGTCTGCGCAGGTTGATGTACAGCTGCTGAGAGGAAACGAGGAAGTTGTTGTGCCCGTCACTCTGGACGGGCTCAGCGGGTGAACTGTTGCGTGAGGAGATGGCGCTCTCAGCTGTGCTAGCTGAGTTATTGATGTAGGCTATCTATTGGTGCTGGACAAATTGATGTACAGCTGTTGAGAGGAGACAAACATTGTTGCGCACATCACTCTGCGCCAATCACTAGGACTGGAGTACTCATAAAGTTAATTGAAATTGTGGAGTTAAAGCCCGAGGTCAGCATGGTAATTTTTCAAGTTATGTGGGGTTGAAACAGTTAGGCGAAAACCTGAAAATCGTGAATTTCGAAAATCTGTGTGGGGCGAAACCAAATTCAGGAGGCGGGAAAAACAGTCTTCGCCACGATACTACGGTATGCGACAGCTGTCCCCGAGGATATGGGAGGGCCGAACGACCCATTGTGCGACAGAGCACTGCTCCCGCCCCAGCACTGGTGGGGCACACTGCGCTTCTATTGGGGTTGAAATATTATAATTTTTAAACACACATTGTGTTTTTTAGAATTGTGTATTGTGAAAGCGAAGCTGCTTGTACTGCACAATTGGCATCGTCGAAGCGCGCTAAACGCCCTTCTCCAACTACAAAAACCGTGGGTTGGAGTTCATTTCCCTCCACCCACGCTTCTCGATTTTCAAACGGCTCACTCAACATTTCCGCTCACGTAGTTTATCCCTCCGTCCAAGCTGGCTAGAACAAAATCGCTTCCTAGAGGCGAGTCACCTTTGACCTTACTCAACGATATTTTTAACTTCAATCGCTCAACGATGGCACCGACGCCGACACTTAACAACGGGAACTCGTCCAACCCCGCCTCCGACAACGACCGTAACACCCGCGATTTGGCGGGCGAACGCCGTAACAAGCGACGGGCAGAAGATGGACCACTCGCCCCGACTGCAGTGGACGTGCTGCTCAGCGGGCTCGAGGTCAACAATTCGGCCAACGCCCAGCAGCACCCTTCGGCGCTAGTGGCGCCAGTGGCGCCTGAGGTGCCTGTGGCGCTAGTGGCACCTGCGGCGCAAGTGGCGACGGCCGCGGGCGTGGCACACGCCACTGAC